AAAAAAAAAAGTCATATCCCTGTTCTGTTTCGGTGGAGTTGCCACGGGCCACATGTGGCCACAGAACTGACACGTGGCAAGTGTGACCAAGAAACCAAAGTTTTCATCTTGTATCATCTTAATTTAAAATTAAGCTTTCCTAGGTCAGACGTGGTGGCTCAAGCCTGTAATCCCAGCACTTTGGGAGGCGGAGGAAAGAGGATTGCCTGAGCTCAGGGGTTCAAAATCAGCCTGAGCAGCATGGCGAGACCTCGTCTCTACAATAAAAAATAAAAATATTTAAAAAATCAGCTGGGTATGGTGGCATATGCCTGTGGTTCCAGCTACTTGGAAGACTGAGGCAGAAGGATCGCCTGAGCCCAGTAGGTCGAGGCTGCAGTGGCCGTGAGTGTGCCACTACACTCTAGCCTGGGTGACAGAGTGAGACTCCAACTCAAAAAATAAAATTAAATTAAACTTTCCTGCCTGGGTGACACAGCAAGATCTCATCTCTCCAAAAAATTTTAAAAAGTCATTGAGTGTGGTGGCGTGTGCCTGAGATCCCAGCTACTCAGGAGGCTGAGGCTGGAGGATCGCTTGAGCCTAGGAGTTGGAGGCTGTGGTGAGCTGTGATCACGTCACTGCACTCCAGCCTGGGCGACAGAGTGAGACCCCCGACTCCCAATAAATAAATAAATTATGCTTAAAGAGTATCCAGGGACCCTCTTAGGCAGACACTCCTGCCCTGGCCCTACAGCCTGAGGCCACCCTCACCGCTCAACATTTCACCCATGGGACTCTGGGTATTTAGAGACTGATGGGTTGTGCCACCCCAGCATCCCCCGCCCCGGGGAGACTGAGGATCCCTCTCCTCAGTGGGCAGATGTCAAGACGCAAGCCCAGAGAGGGAAAGCAACTTTTCCAGGGTCACCCAGCAGAGGCATCACGAGAAACTGGGCTGCTAGACTCATGCCCTGGCCCTTCCCACCAGCCCAGTGATTCAGAAGGTGGGTGAGCCTGGGGCGTCCCTTTGGCCTGGAGCATGTGGCAGAGACGTGGCCAAGGCAGCACCCTTGCCCTGATGGGTGGTTTTTGGATAATAAAGCACATCCCCACGTCTCCTGACATAATCCCCGCAAGGGTCCGTGGGGATCTCCTGTTTCATAAACAAGGGGATGGCGGTTGACGGCCCAACGCTGGAGTCAGATGGACCTGGGGTTGCTTGCAGTTTCCCTGGCTCACCCTGGGTGACCTTGGCACCTGACTTAGTCTTTGAGCCTCCGTTTCCTTGCCTGTCCATGGGAACAGAAACGGCGTGCCTTTCCGGGTTTGTCGGGCTGTGCAGAGCGCCAGTGTGCATGGGGCAGTTCTCAGCTGTGGCAGACAACGCCAACTCGCATGCGGGTTCTTTTCAAAGTTTTCACCTTACAATGGGTTTATCAGGATGTGATCAGTATCTGTATTTGAAAGGAACTTGGTAGAGAGGTGTGGGGAACTGGGTTCACGCCTGTCATCCCAGCACTTTGGGAGGTCAAGGCGGGAGGATTACTTGAGCCCAGGAGTTCAAGACCAGCCTGGGCAACCTAGCAAGACCTTGTCTCTATAAAAAAAAAAAAAAGATTAGGCTGGGCATAGTGACTCATGCCTGTCATCCCAGTACTTTGGGAGGCAGAGCAGGGAGAACTGCTTGAGCCAGGAGTTCAAGACCAGCCTGGGCAACACAGAAAGATCTTGTCTCTAAAAATATTAAAAAGTAAAAAATTTGCCGGGCATGGTGGTGCATGCCTGTAGTCCCAGCTACTCGGGAGGCTGAAGAGGAAGGACCACCTGAGCCCGGGAAGTCAAGGCTGTGGCGAACTGCAGTCCTACCACTGCACTCCAGCCTGGGTGACAGAGTGAGACCCTGACACACACACACACCCCCAAGATAGGGGGCTGTGGGAGCCAGGGGTCGGGTGGGGTGTGGCGGGGTGGGATGTGGGCTTCAGTCTCTGCAGGATGAGCCCACGGGGAGGAAAAGGATGACCCTGAGCCTGGGAGCGAGAGGGTGAGGAAAGTGTGGGGGTGAGGGAGGGTGTCGCTGGTCGCTGCAGAAGGTTCTGGAACTTGCTGGGATTCCCGATCACTGGTCCTCTGGGGTCCCCTCTGAATCTCGGTCTCCCTCTACCCTGAGATTGGCAGGCCACAGGGGCAAAGCAGCTGAGGCTGGGGCCAGCCATGCCCAGTGGGTCTTCCCCGCACCCTCTTCTGGCCCCTTCTCTGGGCTGGCCACTGGGCATGGTCAGAGTGGTGGGGGCTCCTTGGACCAGAGGGGAAGGCCAGAGAGGCTGGGCCCTGCCCCCACCTGTCACCAAGGCTGTAAAGATGACAGAGGGCTGGACCCGGCTCCCTGGCTCTGACGGGCTGGCATTTCACAGCGACTGCGCCCTTGACTTATGGGCTGCAGAAGCCGTGATTTACACGCCGTGACACATGGCGTCTGGGCGCGTTGCTTCGCTCTTGTGATAAAGCGTCTTGCAGGAGAGCCGGCCGCCGGCCTGATGTCTGGGTGCGGGAGTCCTCCGTAGCCCATCCGTCTCCCTCTCTCTCCCCAGCGTTGTGGACGCATTTTGCTGAACTGGCAAAACAGACCTGAATCCCTGACTCCCTCCAGAAATCAGCAAAGAGCTGAACTTGGCCCTGGCAGGGCATGGCTCGGAGGACCAGAGGGGAGACCCCGCCCCCCACCTCTGAGCTGGCCTGAGGCAGGCTTTAAAACAGGCCAAGGTGACACGCCTGGCCCCATGCCTGGCATGCGGGGAGGTTCGGGACAAGGGTCTCCGTCGTGGGGCAGTGGCCGCCGTGTGCAAAGGAATCCATAGCCCATGGGTGTCAGCTTTATTTTCTCACTAACCTGCATGGCTTTGGCCCCGTTTTACAGATGAGAAATCTGGGGTCTAGGCAGGCTGAAATGGCTGGCCCCTTGCTCCTCCACAGAGGGGTGAAACCCGACGTTGAACGCAGGTCTGATCCCAGAGCCTGGTCCATTCAGAGAAGCCCCTGGTGCTGATACGCTGATTGCCCGGGTCTGGGCTCCTCGCCTGGGATTCTGCCCTCTTGTCTTTCAGTGGTGGTGACAGTCGTGTTTGGGGCTTCCCTTTAGGTGGGTGAAACAATCCATCCGCAATGGGGCAACTGCCCCAGGCACATCTCTAACCAGCTAAGTCCTGTGTCCTGCCTCCGCGGCAGGGAAGCCACCCATGTGAAACACAAGCCACTCGGCAGGGACATGTCTAAGCCGCACTGGCGCCGCCACTCACCAACACAAGTCACCGTCCCTGGGACCCACAGCATGGGGGATGGGGGCATTTCCGGGCGACTCTGTGCCCTGGGCCAGCATGGCTTCTCTCCTGGGCGGTCTGGCCCCACCCATCGAGGTGGGACCCCAGGGCGGGGACACTGCCAGGGTTGTCCTTGCACTGCACCGACAGGGTATAGACGAGTCCGTGGTCCACCCAGTGCGGGCAGGGCCAACAGGGAGCTCCCATGCGATCCTTGGGGCTGAGCCAGCGGCTTTGAGGAGAGAAGGCAGGAATGGACGGAGGGCTCAGGCCGGGGCTTGGTCTGACCTGTTGGTTCTGGGCACACGGTGCTGTTTCATGGGGGTCCTCACAGCTTGGGGGGAACACAGAGCGGTGTGAGCCCATGGGACAGCGTGGAGGAGGCGGGGGCAGCCTCCACTCAACCTTTGCCCCCACTGATGCTGACTACAGTGAGGCCGGTGGGGCTTGGGCCCCTGCTGGCGGGACACTGCGGGGTGGGCTCTTCCAGTGTGGAGATGATCTTGGGCAGGGGCTGCAGCTCCCATTCACCCTGCAAGGAAGGGACCAAGGAGGTAAACTGAGGCTGGAGGGGTGAGACGGGTTACCGCCTCCCCAACCTCTGTTCCCAACAACCTTTTGGATTCTGGCCCGTGAACCATCTTGCCCCAAAATGAGCTCACCCTCCCCCCAAGTTGCTTCTTGGGGGTCCCCAGCTCAGTAAATGCCCCCTCCCCTGGTTACTCAGTTTAGTCAGGAAGCCAGGGGCCATCCGGGCCTCTCCCCACCTGTCTGCCCACCCCTCAATGGAATCACCCACCTGAATGTAGCAACCAGAGCTTCTGGGTGCTGGCTCGAATTTTTTTTTATTAGCCATTTCTCTCCCACAAGACTGCATCTGATGCCTAGTTTTGGGGGTTTTTTTGAGTTGGGGTCTCACTCTGTTGCCCAGGCTGGAGTGCAGTGGTACAGTCTCAGGGCTCACCGCAGCCTCAACCTCCTGGGCTCAGAAAATCCTCCTGCCTCAGCCTCTCGAGTAGCTGGGACTACAGGCATGCACCACCACACCTGGCTAATTTTTAAATTGTTTTTTGTAGTGATGAGGCCTTGCTATGTTGTCTGGGCCGGTCTCGAATTCCTGGGCTCCAGGAATCTTCCAGCCTCGGCCTCCCAAAGTGCTGGGATGACAGGTGTCATCCACCGTGCCTGGCCCTGATGCCCAGTTTTCTTGTCTTTTTTTTTTTGAGTCAGAGTCTCACTCTGTCACCCAGACTGGAGTGCAGTGGCATCCTCACGGTCACCGCAGCCTCGGTCTGCTGGGCTCAGGTGATTCTTCTGCCTCAGCCTTCCAAGTAGCTGGAACTATAGGCATGTGTCACCCTGCCGTGCTAATTTTTTTTTTTAATTGTAGAGATGAGATCTCACCAAGTTGCCCAGGCTGCTCTCAAACCTCTGGGCTAGGGCAGTCCTCTCATCTCGGCCTCCCAAAGTGCTGGGATTATAGGCATGAGCCACTGCGCCCGGCCTCGGCCCCGTTTTCAGTCTCATCAGACACCAGCTCATGACACTCTCAGGTAAGCCGGTGCTACCCTTGGCACTGGAAATGTTTGATTTAGCAATCAATCCAGCTCCCCAGCGCTTCTGGGAAAGATCTTCCCATGTGTCTGGGCTGCAGGGCTTGGTGTGACCACCTCGGCAGACGCCCGGGTCAGGTCTCCTGACTGCAGCTCGCTGGGCTGGGGATACATTAGATGCCTTTGAATCCCAGTGGGTCTCAGACAAGGAGGAAGAAACCGGCTTGCAGCTTCAGACGGTGCTTTCTCACCTCCTCCCCACCCCCCATGCTTTATTTTTAGGCTCTGGGGGAGGTGGCTGGAACCCTGCTCACACTGCCGACATCGGGACAGAGACGAGGGCCCGCGGGAGACGATGCCCGGGAGAGGGGGCTGCCCCCCTTCTTGGCAGCCTCGCCAGTCTCTCCCCCTGCAGGCCGCCCATCTGGGCCAGTCTGTCGCCACCTGGTTGTCCTGTCTCTCTCGAGGGCTTCCCGCCTGGGGTCCTCCATGGGCCTGAGGCAGACCTGGGCACAGAGGCATGGGCAGTGGCCTGCAGGACCTGTCCCCGTGAGCACCAGCAACGGGCAAAGGTGGGTTACCTGGAAGCGCACGGCCGAGGACTTGTTGCAATGCACGGAGATGGGGACAAAGCCGTACAGGGCCTCGAGCACGCGGCGGCTGAAGGAGTTCCAGGGCACAGAGGCGAACTGCTGAGGCACGGACGCCTGGGGGCAGGTGCACACGTCCTCGCTGTTAAACCTGGAAATGGGGAACGGTCGATGGGTGTGACAGTTCGGAGCCCCGAGGGGCACAGGCCGTGACTCCCTGCAGCCAGGGTGGGGACCCCCGCCGGCCTCCTCAGATGCTGTCTCATCCCTGCCTCTGCCGACAGTGGCCTCATCTCTTGTGTCACCTTGGTGGGTGGGTAATGTCCTGCCTGGGCGACAGGGTGAGACTCTGACAAAAAAAAAAAAAAAAAGACAAGACAAGAAAACTGGGCATCAGGGCCAGACCCGGTGGCTGACACCTGTCATCTCAGCACTTTGGGAGGCCGGGGCTGGAAGATTCCTGGAGCCCAGGAATTCGAGACCGGCCCAGAAAACATAGCAAGGGCTCTGGAGGAGGGGTATGGGGCCAAGTCCAGGCCCAGCAGGTGTGGAGTAATTGTCGGGACATAGACCCTTTTCCCCCTGTACCTGGCTTCTTTCTGCCCCTTCCTCGGGGAGCAGCCTCTGGCTGAGGCTGGTGTCCGCAGGCTATGCATATTCCCGGCAAAGAGTCACCAAGTCACCAGGTGCAGGGGACTGGCAGAGCTGAGAACAATGTGGGTGGCGCCCATCTTCAGTGTCCTTGTATACACTGTAGCAGTTTAGATGATTAACTTCCTTCGTTATAAAAGTGCTCACTGGCCGGGCACTGTGGCTTACATCGATTATCCCAGCACTTTGGGAGGCTGAAGCAGGAGGATCGCTTGAGCCCAGGAGTTCGAGACCAGCCTGGGCAACAGAATGAGACCTCCTCTCTACAAAAAATAAAACAATAAACTGCTTGCTGTACTCTCTCAAGGCGTGGATTCTTTTTTCACCGGCCGGGCCCCATCGGTGCCTTCTGTAAGTGCTAATAAACCCATGTCTCTCCCTGCTGGACCCGGGGGTGACTTCTTCGGGACAGGTCAAGAGCCTTCCACACGAGCCCTCTCAGAGTGAGGGTTGCCACGTTGGAGCAGGAAACGAGGGGTCAGGGATGCCCACCACAGGCCCCTCCAGGGGATGGAAGCCTGGTGGCCACAGGCGTGTGCGTCCTGTCTTGATAACTCAGCCTGGGTTCCACCTGTTGCCATTTGCCTCACAGATGTGGGGGGTGGTCTGTGTTAGGTCTCCCCAGGGAATGGAGAACACGTGTGAGACCCCTCACCTATTCAGCAGGTGGAAATACTTCTGCAGAAAGCCGGCATCCACCGCGCTCTTGCAAAGCTCCAGCTGTGTCTGGGGGTAGTAGTGCACGTAGTTGACACACATTTCCTCCAGGATCCCGAAGCCCCCCTGCAAGTTGGAAAAAGACCCGTCATCCCGGGGCCTGTCACTCTCAGACCCTGTCGTACAACGGATTCCACTGCATCTGCTTGGCCACCGCGTCTGTTTGTCCTGCAAGGTGTCAGGCGGTGCCCTGAGCCCCCGGGATGGAGCCGGGGACAAGGTCCCTGCCCCCGGAGGGTTCCCACCCTTGGCGCGAGGGACGGGTCAATTCATCTCAGGCAGCGATCATGTTACAAAGAAGAATAAAATAGGGCAGGTGGATGGGGCACTCATGTGCCCATATTTTTTCTGAGTCAGAGTCTCTGTCCCCCAAGCTGGAGTGCAGTGGCACGATCACAGCTCACCGCAGCCTCAACCTCCGAGGCTCAGGTGGTCCTTCCGCCTCAGCCTCCCAAGTAGCTGGAACCACAGGCGAATGCCATCCTATCCACTTATTTTTTGTAGATACAGAGTCTTGCTACGCACCCAGTCTGGTCTTGAGCTCCTGGGCTCGAGCAATTCTTTTGCCTCAGCTTCCCAAAGTGCTGGGATTACAGGTGTGAGCCACCACACCTGGCCTGTGCCCATTTATGGCTACAGAAACTGAGTCTCAGGGCAAGGGACAGTCTTGAGCAGGCACGGTCTCCTGACCTGTCCCCTTGACCTCCAGTGAGAACTTGGAACTGGGAACTGCAGTGGGGGAAGAGGGGAAAGGGATCCCTCCCACTGCAAATCTGTAGTGCTGGCCCCTCACCCACTTTCTCCCCCCAGGCTCCTGTTTGTGAGCATGGACGTGGGGCCAAGGATTTTTTTTTTTTTTTTTTTTTGT